TCGAACCTGCGGGCTCAGGCCATCCACTCACCTCAGCCTCCCAAAGGCGCGGGATTACAGACTGAGCCACCGAGCCCAGCTTCAGTGAAGTTTTTTTGGGAGATTCCTTCACCCGGTTTGCCCATTTCATGATGGGTGATGAATGAATGTACCTGCCCACACTGCGCTGAGTATTCAGCAATTTTTGACCGAAATGGCAGGACCCCCATGCCTCACCCTCCCTATTCACCCGATCTCTCCCCAAGCAACTTGTTTTTGTTTCCCTGGATGAAAAAAGTCCTCCAAGGGAAAAGTTTTGCCGACGTGGAAGAGGCGAAACAAAAATGGCAGAAGCACTCAAAGGCACTGAAATAGACAAGTTGAAAAACCATTTTGGGCAGTGGAAAAAGCATCTCAATAGGTGTATTGCAGCAAATGAATAAGACTTTGAAAGTGACTGAAGTCTAAATATGTAAGAATAAATACACAATTTTTTTAAGTTGGAGTCTCACTCCGTTGCCCAGGCTGGAGTGCAGTGGCACCCTCAAGGCCACCCCAGCGTTGACATGTTGGGTACCAGCGATCCTTATGCCTCAACCTTCCAAGTAGCTGGAACTATAGGCGCGCACTACAATGCCCAGCTAAATTTTTTTATTTATTATGGAGACAAGGTCTCACCAAGTTGCCTGGGCTGGTCTCAAACCCATGGGCTCAGGCAATCCACTCACCTCAGCCTCACAAGGGATTACGGGTGAGCCACTGAACCCAGCCAATATACAATTTTTAATAAACAAATCCGGGTTTTTTGGGTTTCCCCTTGTATATACATTGTCTCATTAACTCTCGTGACCAGAGGGCTTTTTGATCCCAAAGCCACATGGCTAGTGATGGGAAGAGGATGGTGGGCCATCTCTGATTCCAACACTCTTTACATCACACTTGCCAAGTGACCATCGGAAAACTGGAAATTTGGGAAATATTTTAAATTCATGTCTTAAAATCGATGTCTTCTGAACATCTATGTGCCAGACACTAGGGAATTATAGAAAAAAAAATCACACACACACACAAATATACATATATGATGTACATAATAAATATCTATATATCAAGATAATTAGTTACAGGACCCCCCTCGGATACCAACGTCCATGAATGTGCAAGCCTCTGATATATAAATTGGTGTAGTATTTGCATATGACCTAAGCACGCCCTCCTGAGAACTTTAAATCATCTCTAGATTACTAATAATTCCTAATGTGATGTAAATGCTATGTAAATAGTTTTTATACTGTATTGTTTAGAGAATAAAGACAAGGAAAAAAAAGTCTGTGGCGGGCCGGTGGCTCACACCTGTAAGCCCAGCACTTTGGAAGGCCAAGGTGAGAGGATTGCCTGAATCCAAGGGTTTGAGACTAGCCCGGGCAACTTGGCGAGACCTCATCTTCACAATAAATTTAAAAATTAGCCAGGCATGGTGGCACACACCTGGGTTTCCAGCTACTTGGAAGGCTGAGGCAGAAGGATCACCTGAGCCCAGCAGGTCAAGGCTGCAGTGGTCATGAGAGTGTCACTGCACTCCAGCCTGGGTGAAAGAGTAAGAGTCCTACTCAGGAAAAAAAAAAGTCTGTACATGTTCAGTACAGATGCGGTCATTCAATTTTTTAAAAGATATTTGACCAGACACAGTGGTTTCCATTAAAAACCACATACACTATTGTAATCCCAGCACCTTGGGAGGCCGAGGCAGGAGGATCACTCCAGCCCAAGAGTTTGAGATCAGCCTGGGCAACATAGTGAGACCTTGCGTCTACAAAAAAACAAAAATAAAATAAAAAACATTAACCAGGCCTGATGGCACATGCCTGCAGTCCCAGCTACGTGGGGGGCTGAGGCAGGAGGCTCACTTGAGTCCAGAAATTGGAGACTGTGGGCTGTGATGAGCTGTGATGGTGCCACTGCACTCCAGCCTGGGCAGCAGAATCAGATGGCAACAAACAAACAAACAAAAGATAGAATGAAAGGGAAGCTGGATAGGTGGAGGTGCTGAAGGTGTTTGAGAAGTATAAAATAGTTGTCTGTGACAGTGGGAGGAGAAGCAGGCCAGAGAAAGGCAGCGTGATTACTGGGCAGAATTAAGGTGCTCCTGAGGTCAAGGACATAGAGCTAGATGAGCAAGCCGATTTTCTTTGCCACGCTTGGCTACACGGGCCTGGGGCACAGTGGGAGAGAACGGAATTCAACTGTGACTGAGGTTTTACCAAGTGAGTACCTTTAAAGAAGAGAGGCTCAAGGACATTGAGAGAATATTCAAGAGAATGTCCTTTTCTTAGCTTATTTATTTTGCTTTTTATGATGACATTGTCAAATATATTTAATACTAGAAAGAATGATAGAAGGAACCCCACGAATCTGTCATCTAAATCCAACAGTTAAAAACGTTTTGTGGCCGGGCATGGTGGCTCAAGCCTGTAATCCCAGCACTTTGGGAGGCCAAGGTGAGGGGATTGCCTGAGCCCAGGAGTTCGAGACCAGCTTGGGCAATTTGGCGAGACCTCATTTCTACAATCAGTCAAAAATTAACCGGGCATGGTAGTGCACGCCTATAGTTCCGGCTACTTGGAAGACTGAGACAGAAGGATCGCCGGAGCCTGGCAGGTCAATGCTGGGGTGGCCGTGAGCGTGCCTGGGTGACGGAGTGAGACTCCAATTCAAAAAAAAAAAAGTCTTGCAATCCTTTTCATCCATTCCTCCATGTTTTCTTTTTCTGGAGAATTTCAAAGCAAATCCCGAACATCATACTAGTTCACCCACTATTACCGCAAGATATATCTTTCATAAAAAGGAACCTTTTTTTTTTTTTTACGACCCTCTACTGAAATAACTGTGTGCAAGCAATCGTGCACGGAGGAAGAAAAGGACAAGGAGCAAGGAAAATAAGTCAAACAAGCCGGGCTCGGTGGCTCAGCCTGTAATCCCACACCTTTGGGAGGCTGAGGTGAGTGGATTGCCTGAGCCCGCGGGTTCGAGACCCGCCTGGGCAGCGAGACCTCATCTCTATAATAAATAAAAAAATCAGCCGGGCGTGGTAGCGCATGCCAGTAATTCTGGCTACTCGGAAGGCTGAGGCGGAAGGATCACCGGAGCCCAGCAGGTCGAGGCTGCGGTGGCCGGGAGCGGCACTGCACTCCAGTCTGGGTGACCGAGTGAGACTCCAACTCAAAAAAAAAAAAAGAAAAGAAGTCAAACAAACCCCTTCTGATCTGTATAATGTAGATTTGGTTACAGACGGTGTTCAGAGGAGGAACTGGACAACGCATGGGACTTCCGCTGAGCTGGCCAAGGCTCTTGGAGTAGGACACTTTCAATAAATATTTGTTGGATAAAGGAAGGAGTGTTCAGTAGTGTCAAATGCTGCAGACTTCTAAATCCACCCTTAAGACGGTATCTAAGACGGATTCTAAATTATGAGCTCTCAAATGAGAGTCCCTTGTAAAAAGACGTCGCTTGGGAGAGTCCTATGAGTTAATTACTTGGAGACTAAATTGGGTCCCTTACCCCTGCTGAATTCGGAGAGATGAACCTAATATGCTAGTTCCTAAAGGGAACGATTAATCCAGATTGTCCTCAACAGCACAGCCCTCCTTAAGCCCTAGTTCTAGGGTTCTAAGATGAACAGGAGACACGGACCCCGCGGCTGGACTCTAAGATGAGCCCGGGTCGCGGGCTCTGCGGTTAGGCTCCTGCCACCCGGAGGCTGACTCAGAGGCGGATCTTCACCACCCAGAACGGAAGTTCCCGAGCCTTCAAACCCTGGGGAAGCAACTCGGCAGCGGACCAAGATGGCGGCGCCCAGTGAGGGGCAGGCGTTTGCCGCCGGAGTTGAAAAGAATTGGGGTGCGGCCGTTCGTTCCCCAGAAGGGACCCCCCAGAAAATCCGGCAGCTGATAGATGAGGGGATTGCCCCGGAAGAGGGAGGCGTGGACGCGTGAGTTCACGAGTCGATTCTGGCGCTGGGAGATGGAGAGGGCTCGAGAACACGGCCTGGAACGGGGTGGCGGGCGGGGTGTGGCCTCTAGGGGTCTGGAAGACACGGGGGTCACTGAGCGTGGCCGGCTTCGATCCTCCCCTCGGGGTGCTCTGGATTCCGCACCACGGGCGGAATTTGGCCGCAGAACATTATTTTTGGAAGATAAAAAGAAGACCGTTACTTGTGTGACCGCGCCTGACGCCTCGTAATGGGGGTTCTTAACCTTTTTGGTGCCGTAGACCCCTTCAACAGTCCTGTGAAGCTTAATGTTTTTAAATATTAAATGCTCAACGTGGCCGGGCGGTTGACTCACGCCTGTTAATCCCAATACTCTGGGAGGCCGAGGCGGGAGGATCGCTTGAGCCTGGGAGTTCGAGACTTTGTTTCTACAAAAA